AAAAAAAAAAAAAAAAAAAAAAATTAAAAAATTATTTATAAAGTGAAAAAATATAAAAAAAATACATGGTCAATCTTCAATGTCTTGCCGATGTCATGGTATTTTTTTTGAACTTTTTCGAAATTTTTTTGACGGTCAAAAGAGCCGTAAAAAATCAAAAGGAAACGAGTAGAGAGATAAAGTAGAGAGATAGTCATAAGGGCAAAAACGTAATTGGGGGAGGGCGGTGATTAATAAAAGGGGGCGGTAAATAATAATACCCTTTCATAAATCCTATCAAACAATATTAAACAGTTGGATGTAGTGATTCAAGGACAACAAACTTGTAAGTATTCTACACTATTTGATGTTGTGGTTCAATTCAACCCCAAAGGAGCCCTTTGGATGTATTTCATTCCTAAATTCTAATTTTCCTTCTAGATAATAGTAAACCAGAAGATTTTCAATGAAGAAAAACTTATCGGGGGCGGGTATTCAATTGAAATTTCTAATTTTTTTCAGGACTTTTGTAATTATGCGTATTTAATTTAGATTTGTTAAAACGTTTAAAATTCTTGATACATTCAATTGAGATTTTAAAAATTCTTACAAAATTTTGTAGTATTTGACTTCTTTGAGACTAGATTTTTAAAGATTTGATGGGCTTTCTAAAAAAAAAAAAAAATCTTACAAAATCACAATTTCACATAATTCTTCTAAAATTTGAAAATCCTAAAAAGTTTCAAAATGTCACTTGAGTTCTCAATTGAATACACTCACGTAAAGTTTAGAGATACAGTTAAATATGATCTCTACGTATTTATGATATATGAGCATATCCACCTCCTTTGGACCCATTCATCATATTACTCGTGAAAACTTAACTTCTATGGCAACTTAATCAGAAATCAACAGCTTTTCACACAATCTTCCTACATTCCAGCACAACTCTATACACCAAATCTATATGTATTTTAAAAAGAATCACGGCAAAGTTCAATAAGCTACTCATTCCACTTGTTTGAATACAAAGAATGCGAACTAAGCAAGAAACCCATGTACAATCATTTGAATGTTTGTCCTCGCTCAACAAACTTTTGTGCATCTCAACACACCTCTTGTGAGTTGGTGGTTTTCGGCAATTGTTGCGAGGTGTCAAGAGTACGGTTTTACTAATACCGATTTAGAGGCGTCCAAATGGTTAAGCCGACAGGTGCCAATAAGATATTCCGGTAATTCTTCTGGTGTATTAGCCTGTGACGGAACATTACGTGATAAGAATAGTCGTTAAATTAATCTGCAACAACCACATGGACAATTATCCAATGAGTTGGGACAAGTGGAAATATTCATCCAAAGGAATCGTAGTTTTTACCTGTACTAAGAAAGCCATCTCAATAACTAGATTGTTAAGATAACCCAAAACGAGGCTAACCACACCCCTTGCAACAGTTGATGAGCCAATATCAACACCAAGCTGTGCATTGATTAAGAAACACGAGTCATCAATCTTAAACATGGAGAAAGAACTTTTACCCTACATCAAAGACAGGTGATGGTGCATGTCTGATCAAATCTTCATTTGGAGGCATAAGAAAGTAATGTATGGCTTTTATTTCATTCATTTTTTTTTTTTTTCTTTTTTTGCATCCAAGTAGGTTTAAATTCACTTCACGTCCTCGTTGGGGCAGAGATGTGAATTCAAAGTAGCAATAGCTACTTGATCATAATTTGAAGAAGGAAAAAAGAAACAAGAACACTGAATTCTACAAATAGAACTGGTATAGCACATTCATGTGAACAACAAAATTTATCATAGATAATGCATTGAAAATTTAGCCTTTCAAAAAGAAGCCCCAAAATCATCCACCATACAGATACCAATAATCATTTTTTGGTGCAAAGGCATTTGATTTGAAAGTCTAATCAAAATCATATTTAAGACAACCACAGATTCTTTCAGTTTATAAGCTATCACTGAACTACTGCAAGAAAATGAACAAGTGGTGGTGAACACTACAATAAGATAATGCAAAAATGCAACAGCAGGTTCTCAAGAAAACAAAAGGAAAAGAAAAAAAATGGAAGTTAGTGGAAAATACTAAAGTTGTTCTTACCTCCAGGTAATTCTTCCCACGAAAATAGTTAATTTCTAAGGCTTGACCAACCAGGCATGCCTTCTTCCCTACGCTCTGCTTTACTATCCATGAACCCTGAGAAACAAGTTGTCCAGTATTCAGGTCTAAAGCCAAGTATATTATATGGTTATCGGCAAACTGCAGTGTTTTTTGCATCGTGAATGTAATAATAGTGGTAATAACATGCCTAAAATAATATCAGTCGTCTACAAGGCTAGAACAACTAATCAAATGGAACCTAAGCAAAAATATCAAGGCAATGTTGTAAACGAGGGTCCACATAATATAATAACCACATTACCAAGTGTTAAAACGTAAAACATTGTCACTTAAAATAAGAAGAGCTGAAATCAAGTAACCAAATGAAACCTAAATGAAAAAATAAAATAAAAATATGAGAGAAGGGAAATACAGAGGCTATCTGGAAGAATGTCATGATATATAGACATTCATACAAAAAGGAACCTCTGTGTTCATCATTTAAACTGGAAAGAGAACCAGGGGACAAAAAGGTAGGCGCAAAGGACTAAGCATGATAAGAAGGTTCAAAATCAAGGGCAAATTAAAAGGACCCCACAGGCCACATGTGAAACACTATGATTCAGAATTAAGATAGATCAAAAAGAAGACTTAGTCATCATATTGCTCATGGTACATGACTCAACAAAACCAAACCGACCTTGGAAATATATGGAATGAGCTTGAACCTCGAATTTCTATAAGCGTCGTCTCCATTGACGAAGCTCTCGAGCAAAGGAGCGTCTTCTAATGGAGTACTCATCATATAGTACAAAGCAAGGCTATATGTTGTCGAACCTGGGACCTAGTACAAGCAAGTGAAATATTATCAGTAAAAGAAATTTGAAAGAACAGGATTGATTAAAACGTAAACGAGCCTCAATCACCTGTATGTTAACAATAAAGAAGAATTCGGGGCCCCCCTTTGCGGCATATTTCTGCACAGTAAATATAAGAAATACCTTTTCAGCTTCACGGATCATTAAGCAATTTTGATAAGTGGATACATACATGTTAATGGATCATTTAAAAATAGACAAAATTTCATTCCTGAGGATAACACTCACTTGAACTATGCCCCCTGGACGGCCGCCGAGATCATCTTCTCTCTTGTCAGATCTCAACCAGTCAGCACCGACCATTTCCATCAACGTCCCTTTCGCCTTAATCTGGGAAGAGAAGACACAAATATAATGCCCAAGAGAATACTTAAGCACTATTCAGGTCACTAATAGTTTCGCAGCATCTACACTACAAAAGCACTTCTACACCTAAAGGTTGTGTGACTCATGTAACTCAAAAGGCAATATTACAATTAAGTAACCACAATTGAAGACTTGAAACTATATACATAGTCATGCATGTCATTCAATAGAATTATTCACCAAATATTGTGGTAAAACTTCCACTGTGGAACTTTAAGCAAACAGTTGATGTGCCATACGTTATGCATTACACAAGTTTATCGACATAATTGAATTCTATAAGAATAAAAACAGATGCAGAGAATATCGATTTACTATGAAACAGAACATGCTTTACAGTGCATTCAAGTTCATTTTAAAAGAAATACCTTCTTCCTATCGTCCAAATAAGTCTTTCCACGAATCAAAAATGTTGAGGGGTCTGTTGATGTCCAACTGCAGAGAAAATTACAGGCTGGATCCTTGGGAAGAGTGCAGCCATATTTGCATGTTTGGCTGTCTTCCTTTATCATCTCATGCAAGTCTACATATCCCTTCTTCTGAACTGCAGTGCCAACATCTCGATACTATTAATATTTCAAAAACTATAAACTAATAAATGAAGATAAATGCCGAGATATTTGCTGCAGTTAACAAGTTTCAGTGAACAGACCTGCAAGATCGTGCAATTTTTTCACAAATACAGCAGCAGTTGACATCTTTGGTTGGCGTGCATCCTGCAAGATTGCACCAGAACAGTGATAATAACCAAGGTAATCAATACATCCGACATTTCATTCCATTTTTAACCTATAGGTATTAGCAGTATGACAGAAGATAGAAACCCTTAACAGAGTGAATATATTATTCACGCCAGAAATTTTCCCCTAGTTCATCCCCTTTCATTTTCTGTTCCCTACCATTCACATCTAATTATTTACAAACCAATCATCAGATTGCTAATCCTTATTAGACAGTTTTCCATAACATTCACTTTTTCCCAGCTCTATTATTAACTACCACTCCTTATTTCACATCGGCATTTCAAATCAACTATCACCACCCTATTCTATCTTATATCCATTCAATACTAACAAAGTACTTCAGAAGACATAAAGCCATTAATATTCTCAAACTGAAAGAATTCTCAAAATGAAGGGTACCATTGCGGCCAAACCTTTTCAAATAATATATACTTGTTGTCCATCAGAGGGAAATCTAGCACCTAAATGGACAGATCAAAATTCGCATAACAAAAACTAAATTTAAATGGATAACTAACAATTTTCCCAGAAAAAAATGTGCCTCGTCAGTTTTGAGTCATGTTACTTCTTACCATTCTCTCAGATCTGGATGGAAACTAAATTACTGCATCAACATTTAAAATCGTGTCACTGATCCAAGTAGTTGCCATGCCCTAATCATACCTGAGAATAATTTTCTTCATCAAAGTCAGAAGGCCAACCGCTTCCTGAATGATCATAATCCAAAGGCTCTGGGACGTCAAAGAATTCATCTGATGTGTCATTTAATCCAACAAGACTCGAACGCTCAGAAGGTGTTTTAACTGGTTCTTCCTCCACATCCTCCTTATTATTTCCACTCTCCGCTCTAGTTTCAACTTTAACTTTCAGTTCCTTTCTGCTTTGCTGCATGGTGGTGCTGCTCATTAGCTCACCAGATGAGAAACCAGAGGAAGAACAATCTAATTTTGCCCTAAACAGCTCCCGCAAAGCTACAAGCAGAGCAGTGAAGTTGAGTCAATCAAAGGTTCTGTCTTATCCAAATAAATGAGCTGGCAAATATTTCCTTATATTGGTTTCAGAGATACTGTCAATTGTGTCGTCCAAGTTCTACAAACTATAAATTTATTTTCCAAGATATTTACATCGTTGTGATTTTGTAATTTTCTTTCTCCAAATAAATTTGTGACGGTACACAAACAAAAAGAAAATACTTTAACATATGTAATCCACACACGGGCAAGGTTAGGCATGTTCACTACTCACGGGCCTCCATAGCCATTTAATACCAGAATGAATATTACATAAGCTTTTAGGAAATCACAATTTTAAACTTTAGGAACCAAAGTTAATTCGTTCCCACTTCAATGGTGCTTATATTTAAGAATTGGCAATGATCATGAGAGAGGAGAAATAGGTAAGGAGCACCACCAGCAAGCCTCCCCAACATGCTAATTGTAATTGATCTCGCCGATGATGTCTGCAAATAAGATTTCCAATATTTCCAGTCAATAGCAAGCATATGCTTCACTACAGAACGCCTGCCTTGATTAACTGGAGATATAACATATCCTCCACCTGAAATTCATAGTATCATCCACAAGACAACCAATTAGAACCATCAAGCACTATAAAGGCCACATCATATTATACAGCGGAGTGTAATTTACGAGAGCTCAGTTCAAATTGAGACAACACTGAAAATGACTATTGACAAGAAAAAAAAAATGACAAATAATAATCAAATTTGTGCTCCATCTTAAGATTTTACGTACTTGGGCTTCAATACATTGACATAAAGAATGTCTCCTGAGATAAGGAGCATGCAGAGTATTAAGTATTCAAAAATTATCATGATATGTCCAGACAGCTAAGTATGGCGCGCACGAGGAAAAATAAAAAAGAAATAAAGAATCAAAATCCCATTATTTACATATGTAAGCATACATTACTTTTAAGGCAGGCGCGTACATAACTCCTTTTAGGAGGACACCTGTGATGGAACACAGAATGGTAAAGAATCACTGCAGATAAATAAACAAAATCAAGTTATTCCTGTTCAATTAAAAATCCAAAATACTATTTATACGATTAAACGAAGTAAACGAATTACCATATGTACCGTCATCTTCCCTTCTCCAATAGCGCCGTAACAGAAGGTCCCTCCGTTTCATACCCCTGCAACAATCTAAATCACATATCAATTCTTAAAAACAAATAAACGAGTAAGGTGATAAGAGACAAAATAGACATCAGACCAAGGTAGCCAATGACGGTATAGAAGCTTGTGAACTATATCAGTATGACCATCAAGATGTTCAATCACAGAACCCTTGTGAAAAGAGAAGTCCCATCTGTACAAAGATAAAATCTCCTTTTACACAAATGGTAAAGCACTATGACTTTTGACAAGTATTAAATCTCCTTACTGAAGAAATAGATACTGGCATCCTTCTTAAGTAGGCTATAGGATGTTTTTAGATAACCAAATTGCATACATAATGAAGTCATCGATGTCTTCCAAGGAAGGATAAGCTGGACTCGGTATCAGGAAACAAAAGTTCTTGTAACCACTTAATACACACACACACAAGTAAACAACAGCATTGTTATTATTATTATTATTATTATTATTATTATTATTATTATTATTATTATTGGTGGTGGTCAAAATCTGGCTGAAATATCTTCTGGTATTATGGCAGCTTACTCTGATCTTGATGGGCCAAGAGACATGAGAGTTTGAAAAATAGCCTCTGAAGTTCCATCGACTACTCCAACAGCCATTATTGCTGGATGATCATCCCACTACATAATATCAAAAACATTAAATTTGATTTAAGGTTTTTAAGACTCTAATGACGTGATAAATCTTGACAAACCTACCTTTCCACTAAATTCTTTGTCTTTAGCCTCCTTAAATAATCGGAGACCTGCATGACTTTTGTGTTAGATGACGCATATAGTCATTTTACATTATACGAATTGAAGTCAGATTATACCATTGTGGCAACCGAAGATTTTCCAAGGTGATGGAGCAATAACATCAGAAGTCATTGCATCCGTGACTGAGGATGAGTAGGCAGTCCAGTCAACAGAATGGGAATGCTTATGAGAACAGTTTAGCCTATATGAAAGAAGAAGAAGATAATCAGGATAAAGAACATAAACTGTTGTTCTCATAACTGAGTAAAAAAAATTACTAAATGTTATTGAAAATCTTCAACAACCTGATTTCCTATTAAGAATATTGGTTCAAGTACATAAACCATATCCAGAATGTCGACAGTCTACCAGGGTTATCTTAACTTAGCATTGGTTAGTTAATCATTGCGTAAAATGCTAATTCGTTACCTTAACGACTGTGGTTCACGATTAGCGTATTCAGAATTTCCAAGGTTCTGCTCCGACTGCATTTATAGGATGTATATAAGTTTTTAGCCGTATAGTTAATCCAAAAAAATGAGACATGGTAATCCTACCTTTAAAGCGGACTCCTGAAAGGACTGGATCCATTTTGCAGCTTCTTCCGGACTATTTGCTCCCAACTACAGAGTGGAAAATTTCTAACAATGTTGAAGCAAAAGAAAAAGTAACAACTTCAGAAGAGAAAACTTCACACCTTCAGTTGATCATCGGGATTAGATGTGTTATAGAGTGTGAACATGAAAATGACCTGCAAATTTTACAAAGAAGAAAGAGGTTCATCAATGCAAGCTTGGTACAGGACATGATGTATGCACAAACAGGAAACTTTAGGCAATGCTTGCTCATGTTTTAATACCTTCCTCTGAATGCTTTCCCTCCCATTGTCTGCCACTCTTATGCAGGAATCAATTATGGCGCTTCTAACAGGTTCCTGACAAAAAATAAAATAAAACGAGTCTCTCTTTTTTGGATAATGCATGATAGTACAAATACGTAATGTAAAATACAAAAGTTTAGCAACAAAAGCAACCATGTGTAACTTTATGTCATGCAGCTACGCAAAGTGTCTACTTTCTCAAGGACAAGCAGCCAAAAGAATCACCAGTGAAGTCCACAATTGACAATTGATAAATTCACAAAACATTTCAGGACAATGGTAACTATTACATGCAAGTGCATACAAATAGGCAAATGGTTGCTTATTTCATTATACATGTACGCATATGTATGTCAATACCAGAAACATAAAGCAATATTTGGCATCCAAAAGTCACCATTCCACTGAGGATTCCCCGAGAAAACTAATTCAAAGTACAAGATTGGCTAAATCTTTTCAGTACATATCTTCAGTCTACCAATCAATTTAGCACGTAACTGATTTCGTCCAGCATGCAAAATCTACATATCCTCAAAACCTATGGTTGTAACACCAGATAGTTTGATTCTCAAAAGCTAATTAAGAATAAGATGGACACCAGACCAACAACTCTACAATCACGGCCCACGCAGTGTTCATCATCAAACTTGCCAGAGATTTACTTCCTTAAACGATAAACCTCTACAAGTTGTAAAATATAATGAACATTTGCTTCCGGGGAGAACTTCATGTGAGCATCTTGATAAGCCAAGTAAGGGAAATAGGTCCACACAACTAGCACATTCATAGTTTCCATCATCTGCTAAAACTAGAGTTTGCCATTAATGTGCCAAGTAAGGGTAGAACTTCACTGCAAGTATCTTGTCCACTAATTTGCCTCGCAATCTAACACAACAAAGCAAAGAGGATATGCTTGCATGTCCTCACACAGATACAGATGCAGATGCACAACATTATTTTAAAAAATAAGCACAAAATGTCATAAACAAAATTAAAATCACTCCATTCTACAAACACATTGACTGACGCGCATCTAGAAGAACAAAGCAAACCTCATCTGGTGAAAGCGGGACTGCTTTGAAACTCTTCAGCAGGTGATCTTGAAGAACAAAGTAGCGCCGCCTCGAATACTGAAGCCCAAATCGATTAGACCGTATCAAATACAGCCACCCTTCCATTCTTCCACCATCACTCTGTGAAACCCCCATTTTCACCAACTCCTAAGAAAAAAGGTAAAGCAAATCGTCTGAGTTTCTTGGATTCAGATAAGAACGATCCTCCTCTTACAGGCACACAAACGCATTGAGAGGCACAATTGATGTATGTTTCAAGGAATGAGTTACCGGTCGGCGATGAGGAGAAGGCGTGGAGTAGATAGAAGAGGAGTGGTGGCTCTTGGTGGTTTCCCTCACTCTGTAATTGGTGGTTGGGTGGTGGTTTTTGTTTTTTACTCTGCGTTAAAAGCAACAGAAATTGGTGCTAACTGCAGATGTGAGACAAAAAACCTGACAAGGATCAGACGCCTAATGATTTGATACTAGTATTCGATCCTGTGCACATGCACAGATGCAAATACAATTTTATATGTTATATATATGTGTATGCAATATTTAAAATTAGAAGTTAGATAATAGCATATCACATTTTATAAATTTTATCATTAGTAAAAATGAACGATAAACTATTAACTTACATATTAGTTTTTATATCGATTGCAGTTATATAATTTTTGCAATACTTTTTTAGTATAAACAATTGATTAGATAAAACAACATTGAAATAATTATTACTATAGTATCGAAATTTTGAAAATTTTGGTTATATCATAAAAATTAAATAACTAATGTTGATAAAAAAACACTTGCTT